TCTTTCTAAAGTAGTCTATAAGTAAGTTAGTCGATGGATGCATAAGTTTCGCACCACATGATGTAACTCCCGACAGGTTGACAAAAGCCGGCTGATCAAAATTAAAGCCTTAACCCAAGTACAGTATGAACTTCTGTCACACACACGCCTGCCGATTGAGCGATCTGGAGGTCTCTAAATCCTGTCAAATGCTATCTCCAGCCACCAGATAAACATTCCTTAGGTATTCATAATCGTCTCTCACTTTTTGGACAAATCTGTCGCCTATTAGAATGCTACCGCCAACACAACGGTTGAGTGCAACCCTTGACAAATGTGGCACCTTCGTCTTGGTCGGTGAGTTTTCTCGAAAGTCAAACACAAGAGACCTTTTTGCACATTTACCGACTAGAGTAGTAGGGGTAGTAGGTGTCCACATCTCGATGCACAAAAGCAAAGAATCATGAAACAGATCGATGCAGATCCCTCGTTCCAGGGGGACGACCCTGAAATGATTGTCGATGGGAGTCAGTCCATGTCGGAACCAATAGTTATCAGGGAAGATCCGCCTGAACCAACGCTATCGCTATCTCCGAAGAGCTCGCGATCTGGAAAAGAGAAAAGGAAACACAGAAAACAAGTAGATGCTAGCGTATCCCGGGGTAGCAATGGCGCCAGCCCCACGAACACACGAAGCCCACCTAGAAGCCCAAGATCAATGGATATTAACTCAGACGTTTCCCGAGAGCCTCCAGAGAGCATTGGCAGGGGTGTCTCCGAAGAAAGATTCGTCTCGACCAGCCAAAAGGGAGCAGAACCTCCCGCCCTCGAGAGCCCCACGTACAAAAAAGGAAGAAGAAAGAGTCCTCTGTGGACAGGCACCACCAAGATGCCCCCGGCTTACAAACCAATGAGGAAATTGAGAAACTTGCTACTCCTCATGAGTTCAAGAAATCCAAGTCAATGAAGTCAACGAAATCTGGGTCTGGAAGTAGGCGATCAGCGTCAAGGCGCCGAAAGATGCGAGTGATGGAGATCACTTCGCCGGTCGAGGTCGTGGCCGAGTCCAATGCCAGTAGCTCCCTGTATGGCGTTTTCAACGGCCATTTGATGAAGTGGAGGTTCGAGGCGGAAGAAGGTGGACCCTTTATCAGAGTGCCTGCTTTCTTTGGGGCCACTGCGCTGGTCACTACAACCACGTACGCGTTGATCTTTGACCCGAATACATGGACGATTTTGTCCATCGTTCTATCGCTTTTCATCTATGCGATCTCGCTTCTGTGCATTGTATTGGAAGGACGCTTCATGTGCACAAACCCTCTTGGAATTCGTGCGCACCTTCGCAGCGCCCTCACGAGGAGGAACCGAGTTTTCCGATTTGTCTGGGGTCGTGGCATTCTGTATATCATCGCCGGTGGTCTAAGCTGCGCCCTCATTCTCATTCCATCGCTGATAGCTGGCGGGTTCATGGCTCTTGTTGGTTTCTCTGCTGTCGTTTTCGGCGCCTATTCCGCCAGGATGTTCTACAAGCTTCGCGACTCTTTGAAAGACGATGACTACTTGGGCAATGCCTTCAATCGCTTTGACTATGATAAGGATGGATTCATCACTCTACCGTAGTTTGTAAACTTGCTGTCAATGCTTGGAATGGACATTGACGATAGAATTGGAATCAAGGCTTTCCATGCTGCTGATGTCAACCACGAGTACAAGATTTCTCAAGAAGCTTTCATGTCATGGTGGAAAGGGGCATTTTTGAAGAACGGCAAATCGCCGCGGCTGGACGACATCAACTCGGAGCTCGGAACGGATGAGAAGAAGGGAGTGCATACCACCGCATGGGCTAAGAAGCTGGGAGGAAGATAATGAAAAGCCGTACATTCACGGGTCTTGCTCCAAGTTGCACTCTCCCAGCTCTAGCGGCGGCGTGGTTGAGAGTGGACAGCCACTAAAAGTGTGGCCTCCTGGTGGCTCTAGTTTGGACCCGAAGAGGAAGTTCAGTTGTTTAGTAACTTACATGTAATGCAATTATTTTCTAATGCAAGACATTCGTCCTTCAGCGCTTGTTCCCCTATGGATGATACGCCAGTGCGCCTGTTCGCCTGTAGACTGCCGTGTCACCACATACCGGTAGATTGAATGGTGATAGTGGAAAGGCACTGGTACGTACCAGGTAATCTATTGATGCTGTTGGGTACCCGTGTACCATAACACCAACACGAAGGCATTGACACCATGTCGGAACACGCCAGATCACCGCACAAACGGAAGGTCCAATGCCTTTGTCATCCCATGCCCCACTTCTAAACCTCCCCCCAGACCAGCCTGTCCCTGGATCTACGCCAGTTCCCACACAAGGACCTACCCCTGGTCAACCTCTAGGTTCACACCAGGAGCTACCCCGGGTCCAGCTCCAGGACATACTTCAGACCCAAGTCCTGGACCCACCCCAGGTCCCACTACAGGCCTTACACCTGGACCGGGTCCTGGACCCACTCTAGGACCACCTCAAGGATCAAACCTGTCCATTTCCTGGACCTACCTCTGTCTGGACCAATTAACTCTAGGGCGTACCGTACCCCTAGAACAATGCCCGGCCCGGACCAGCCAGCTCCAGTGCATTCCCCTGGACCTACTCCAGGTTCCACGTCGTGACCTATCCCTTCCAGGCCCCGTCCTGGCTGGTGGAGCCAAAAGGGCGCTAGACAGTGTTGCTGAAGCGATTGATTTGTGTTGTATCGAAAGCAAAACCAAGGAACCAAAGCCACCATGAGAATTGAATGATCCAGAGGCCGCGGAGGCCACAGAGGTGGCTTTCAAAAAAGACTTGTAAAGCCCAGCATATGCGTTTCATTACGGCTGCCATTAGTCCTGGAGACGCGGAGCTTCAATTTGCTTTGTATTTCTTATTGACTTCTTGCTTGATCTGAGCCCAAGATGATGTGTCGAGGCCGTGTCAAATCTAATTATAGAACTTAATAAAATCCCTCCGGGGACTTCGTAATTCCCAAGTTAACATGTGTCGAGGCCGTGTGCCTGTGTGCCAAGAAACTGCGCTAGTACATGTAGTGGTGCCGTGGAACCTTTGAACAGGCAGGGAAAAGCCCGTGGACCGTGGAGACATTCGCAGGTGGATGCCAGCCACAGTCCGGTACTGGTAGATCTACTGGTATGCCAGCCAGCTAGTTAGTAGGAGTACCGTGCAGCACTTTGTTCGTGGCTGGGTATTTCAGTGACCGTCAGAGGTCCATCATGACCCAAATAATGACTTCGATGACTGATTCTTGCTGGCGGCTGGCGGTGAAAAACACCACCCCACAATAACTAGAGCAAAACAACTTGAAAGTTTGCTTCCACACTTCGCAACTTCGCAACGCAACAGCATAAAAGGACATCATAAAAGCACAACAATCATCATTATTTTTTAGCACAAAGCAAGGAAGAAGCAATGAAGACTACATCAAGACCAAGCAGCCCATATGATAGGGCCACGACCACAGCACGAAGTCAAACGAAGGTGATACTGGCTTTTGTTGCGATTGTACTGGTGGCTCTGTCAATGAGGAGGAGTGCAGGTGATGTGAACATCAACAGGATGGTTGAGAATCAAGCGAACACAGGGGAAACAAGCAGTAGCAAAGGAAGATCCCTCAGTGCTGCCTCTGCTGCTGATAAGTCAGCTTCATCGACAGGATCGGCGGCAGCATCTGGCCAGCGTTCGGGAGAGCCCACCATGTCGTTGGTGGTTGGATTCTGGGCCATGGAAAAGAATGAAACCCAACACCCTCACCGAGCCGAGATTGAAGCTGCCATGCTGACCAACTTGGACAACCCCGTCTTTGATCAAATGGTGGTAATCCTGGATTCGGTATCCCAGACATCCAACTGCAGACACTTCCTGAAGCGCATGAAAAAGCTGCGCAAGGAGTCCACAGTGACGACATCTCGGTCGGTTGAATTGACCTGTATTCCTGTGGCGGGCTCGCAGCCAAATTATTTTGAGATGTTCAACCACACACTGCATCCTGCGATCAAGGGTGAAATCATCGTTATGAGCAACGCTGATCAAGCCTTTGACGAGACCATTGACTTGGCCAGGAAAATGAAGGACAACCAGATCTTGGTTACGTCTACTCTTGGATACCACAGCCCAGTTCGAGGAATGGTCGTACCCGACAAACTCCAAATGCACTACAATGCCCATGTTCCTCCTTTGGGGGAGGTTGGTCAAAAAATGACCATGGGAAGGTGCTACGTGAACCGTTTCTTAAAGGACGAGTTTGAGAAAGACGGCACTTACAGCGATTCATGGGATACATTCATTTATCGAAAGGAAATGATCCGTTCTACACTGGCACCCCACCACTTCTTGCGAATTTCCGTGCAGGATGAAAACATTCCATTCATGATGAATGAAAACGGTGCTGAACATGCTGCTCTGGCGAGTTTGGTTCTCAACATCAAACCCAGGCCACAATTGTGGAATGTGTGCAAGCAAATCCACAGTTGGCACTACCATTTGGCTCCCAAGACACATCGAACATCGGAACGAATTTGGCCCTTCTTTGAAGATGCTCTGATTTACAATGGAGACGCCGGCCAGAAGTACATGAAGACCGGTCAACCATTTGAGTATGTTCCAAAACCTTGGAAGAATGCCAAGATGTGCCTGCATAGAAACCCCTCCTGTCGAGCAAAAATATTTGACGAAACGGCAGCTGTGGAAGAGGCTGAGGCAAACATCGACCCTCAACGTGATTTGGCTTCTACTACCAACAATGCGACAGTAAAGTGCCAAAGCTGACGAGAGTGACCTGTAGGAGAACGAATCAAAGCGAGGAGACACAGATACATAGGGGGAGGTCGGAAGTGCTGGCCTCGTGTATACCCTACTAGATAAAAAGTTTGCACATTAATGTTATTGAGTTGTTAGTTTCATTATCATGATCCATCTCTCGGCTTCTTGGCCTGGGTTGCCAGTAGCTAGATTGGTACCGGTATCAAAGCAACATCCCATTCTGGTGGCTGGCTAACGACAAATAATGACTACACTGCGCTAAGAGTGCATGATGGATTCCACAAGCTAGCTAGTAGTGGTACGGAAGGACCAAACACTCAAGAGAAGCAATGGAGAATCCCCGAGGTCTAGTAGGAGCGATCCAAGCTTTTGATGGAGCGAGCTCGACATGCCAGCACTTGGCTCAATTATTTGAGCAGCAGCACCAGCATTAGAGAGATCTTTTCCAACCTGTCAACAAAACTATATGCTGAAGCAGAACTGAACCAAAGACTGTTGATCCGTACGTTGCTACTTATCCGAGATGGCAACAGTATCTACATGTGTCTGTCTGTCTGGTGCCTGCTAATTTCAGGGACTGTGGACTGTTCATTCAGCAGTTCAGCACGTCCTTCGGCGCCCAGCGGCCGATTTTGAGTCACCAGGCATCAATCCCGCAGAAATTAAGCCTTCGTCCAGCTTCGGCAACATTCGATCCGAGGCACCCGAGAGGGAAGAGAGAGCCGACAATCAATCTCCAACGACGGCACGGTATTGTTTCTGAGATCCATCGCATCCGTCTGTCTAACATCTACAAGCCAGCAATCTTACCATGGCAACAGCAGCAGTTCTACCGCCCGCTTCAACCGGACCGGTAAGTCGATGGTGGCGGTGGATTTGCCATGTTAGATGTCCTTGGAGCTTCCTTCGTGTGCACTGGCACTGTGTTCGTACCGGTAGCGTCGATACTCGCTTCGTCCATTCATTCTGTCGTCGATTTCCCGCTTGAGTGGATCAGTTTATTCTTGTGCACAAATTGCTGCTGTTTGACGCGAGGCTCGGGTGAGCTGTGGCCTTGTGGTTTGGTTTGCCTTGGCGGATCTTTGAGTGTCTTCTGATGCGGTCTGGTCGCTTTCTTGGGTTGTTGCGTTGCGATCGATTTGGTCACATGTGGATGCTTTTGGTATTACTTGCACGGGAATCTCATTCATTCGCATGATGCTTTCGCGATTCTGTTCTCAGGTGAAAGCGGCAGTGAAGCCATCCATCGAAGAAGCGGAAGAGGAGTTGGATCTGTACCAGGAAGTCAAGGGATTGGAGAAACAGCTTGAATTTGTGGAGTTACAGGAAGAGTACTTGAAGGATGAAATGCGTCATTTGCAGCGCGAGCTTTTGCGGGCCAAGGAAGAAATTCGTCGAATCCAATCCGTTCCCTTGGTCATTGGACAATTCAACGAGATGATTGATGCAAACTATGGGATTGTATCCAGCACTGCGGGGTCCAACTACTACGTCCGCATTCTCAGTACTCTGGACCGTGAGCTTTTGAAGCCAAACACCAGTATTGCGCTTCACCGACACTCCCACTCTGTTGTAGACATTCTGCCTCCTGAGAGTGATTCCACTGTCAAACTCATGACAGAAAAGCCCACGGTCAGCTACAAAGACATTGGAGGTCTGGACATTCAGAAACAGGAAGTTCGAGAGGCTATTGAGCTGCCTTTGATCCAGCATCATCTCTACCAGCAAATTGGAATTGATCCTCCTCGAGGTGTTTTACTCTACGGTACGTATCACTGAAACGCGACTCGCCTTTTCTTCTTTCCGCCAGACCAGACCAAATCTCATCGTTTCCCTTGTCGTCCTCCTCTGTGCACAATAATAAATAGGACCGCCTGGTACCGGAAAAACAATGATGGCCAAAGCTGTTGCCAACGCCACGGAGGCCACTTTCATCTCCATGGTCGGATCGGAATTCGTTCAAAAATACCTGGGAGAGGGTCCACGTATGGTTCGTGATGTTTTCCGGTTGGCTCGAGAAAATTCACCTTGCATCGTCTTTATTGGTAAGTTAGTTGGCAGTGTTCAGTTTGCGCTTTCACTGGTATTGATCACCAAAGAGGGAATCCTGTAGCACCTTCGGCCGTCTCATTCTCCTCATCTTGTGACTTTCTTGTTTGACAGACGAGATTGATGCCATCGCTACCAAGCGTTTTGATGCACAAACAGGTGCTGATCGCGAAGTGCAACGTATTTTGTTGGAGTTGCTAAACCAAATGGATGGATTTGATCAAACAACCAACATCAAAGTCATTATGGCTACCAACCGTGCTGACACACTCGATCCTGCCTTGTTGCGGCCTGGTCGATTGGATCGTAAGATTGAATTCCCCAACCCGGACAGACGCCAGAAGCGTATGGTGTTCCAGGCAGCCACATCCAAAATGAACTTGAGTGATGAGCTGGATCTAGAGGATTACGTCAACCGAAGTGAAAAGATTTCCTCCTCTGATATCAGTTCCATCTGCGCGGAGGCAGGTTTGCAGGCAGTTCGAGAGAATCGATATGTGGTACTGCCAAAAGACTTTGACAAGGCTTACAAAAAGGCCGTGAGCAATCGTGAGAAGGAACATCTCTTTTACACAATTTGAGCACGCTGCAAAAAGCCAGAAGGCTTCATGGGTTTGACAAACAATATACTACCGGAAGTACTTCTAAGCCAAGCTCCGGTTGGTCTGATAGACAGTAAAACGAAAAAGAAAACATTGATTCGATTGATCATTCAACCTGCCGTATCCTATACAGTAGATAAGGACAAAGGATTTGGCACAGTTGGCGTTTGCAATACATGTCCGGTACCGGTACCTGGTACAAGTTGCCCTCAACGGACTGAGGGTCTTTCACACTTTGCCCTCAACGGACTGAGGGTCTTTCACACTTTTATCGCTGTGTGTGTGTGTGTGTGTGTGTAGGTGTGTGTACGTTGAGTGCTGTGTGAGATGTGTGATGTTGTGTGAGATGTGTGTAGACACTACTAAGAGTTAATCTACGACGAATCTACCATTGGATGTTTATCCATGGGGTATACCGTTGCTTGCTGATTTCCAAATTCTGAGCTTAAGAATTTCGCTGTTTGCTTCATCAGTGGAGCAAGCTGGGGATGGCAAAGATACAAGCCGGGTAGGCTGTGAGAAAAGCAAGGGTACCCTGTTTGTGGTGATTTCGAAAATAGACACAATAGGAGCTGGTACGGTATAACCGAACCAAGCTAAACTAAACCGTAAATCCAATACTCGATGGGCTGGATGTGTGTGTGGTGTGTGTGTGTGTGTGTGTAGGTGTGTGTACGTTGATGTTGTGTGAGATGTGTATGTTGTGTGAGATGTGTATGTGTGTGAGATAACACTACTAAGAGTTAATCTACGACGAACTACCATTGGATTTTATCCATGGGGTATACCGTGCTTGCTGATTTCCAAATTCTGAGCTTAAGAATTTCGCTGTTTGCTTCATCAGTGGAGCAAGCGGGGGATGGCAAAAGATACAAGCCGGGTAGCTGTGAGAAAAGCAAGGGTACCCTGTTTGTGGTGATTTCGAAAATAGACACATAGGAGCTGGTACGGTATATACCGAAACCAAGCTAAACTAAACCGTAAATCCAATACTCGATGGGCTGGATGTGTGTGTGTGTGTGTGTGTGTGTGTGTGTTGTGTGTGTGTGCATGTGCGTGCGTGTGCGTGTGGTGTGGGTGTGTGTGTGTGTGTAGGTGTGTGTACGTTGAGTGTTGTGTGAGATGTGTGATGGTGTGTGTAGGTGTTTGTGTGTTTGTGCAGCTGTTTTCGTCGCTCGTTAAGGATAGGGATTAATCTTGTGTGTTCTGTTGGACACAGTAGTTTCTACGCATGGGTACCAGTACTGGCTGGCTATGCAGACTCGCTAGTGTGTCCAGATAAACACAATCGAGGTTTTGCCAAAGACATAAGGGACATTTTCCTTGTTAAGGATAGGGATTTATATTGTGTGTTCTGTTGGACACAGTACTCTGGACCCATGGGTACCGATACCACTGTGCCCGTACTGGCTGGCTATTGAGACTTGCTATCAATAGTGTGTCCAGTTGAACACGGTAAATGATTTGACCAATCAAATCTCTTTTTGACAGTTGAGGGCATCAGCCTCGGGCTGCTTGTTCTTCGTAAAAGGAGAGTCTAGGACCCCCACAGTCCCGTGATTGCATCAATTTTCACTGGGTGACGATCGTTCTAGGCGCGTCGCGCGTAGGCCTGGTACAAACTTCTGGATGTCAGAAAAACAACGGCTGCCGCCATTCCGACAACAAAAAAAGACCGACCATGACAAAGCAACAGAATATGGCGAAGTTGGCTATGTAGAGTGTTAAAACTGATAAGGACCACCATGTATTTGTAACTCCGCACCATGGTCGCGGTCATGCGCACCTGGTTTGTTTTAGTGAATATGCAATAGGAAGAAGTGAAAATCCATTTTTGGCCTGTTGTGGCGCAGCACATGTGTCACCCAAAAGCGGACTTTTGCCTGTTGGGACACATTGGAAGGCTCCTCGCCATAGAGAACTAAGCCAAAAGAGGACCACAAAGTGTATGCCGGAGTGACCCTGGTGAGACATTGAAGTAAATGGCAACAGAGAGGACATGGCAGCCAGTTTGAAAATCAGAAATATTGACACAGTTTGTGCCGACCATGAGCAAAAACAAGTTTCGTGAGTGTTGGTGATGCGTTTGTTGCTGTTGCGACCAAGGATGCCTTCACTTACCCATATGCAAAGGGGATCCTGCTTAGACATTGTCGAAAATGGCACCAGAAAGGATCTTGAAGCCAGTTTGAGCAGCAGACATGTTGCCTTTGAGTTCTTCCACTCTCTCCAATTCATGCTCTTTGACCTTCTTGGTGCGCTCCCTGACCTTCCACCCATCAATGTCCTCTTCCTTGAAGCCGCGGAACAAGAGCTCCTCCTTGAGAGGGATCATGTGCTTGTCCTTCCTCATAGAGGAATATAAAGTAAGATCCATCATGTTTGCAGTTCGCACCACACCACCATCCTTTTGCTTCTTGTTTTCCTCTTGTTCTTGTTGATCTTGGCCATGGCTTGTTCTTGCAGGACCTTCATGCGCTCATGCTTGAAGTGCTTGTTGCGCATGACAGAGGAGAGTTCAGTTTGACGGGCCGTGTAGACATCATGGCCCAGGTTTTTCTGCAATTCCGTAACACTCTCAGAATGTTTCTTGGCAGCACGAAGAAGTTCTTCTGTTTTCTTGGTGGCTCCAATCGTCTCAAGTTGCCGATGGGAAGGTAGTTGGCGGCTCTGTTGATAGCATAGGCGCTTCTCAGCTGTTCCGACCGGTCAGTAGTGGAGACATTCTTTGCCTCCTTGACTCCAACTTCAACAAACTGTGTGTGGCATGCAAGCGGTAGATAGGTGTTCTTCATGAAGAGACAATAGGCGTCGGGCTCTTGGTCATCGCGCAAGTCAATGTCATGGTCAGGGGACATCATCATCTCCGCGATGTAGGTAGACATAGGCGCATAAGTAATCCCATCTTGGTTTCCAACCACTCTTTTCACAAAGTCGTAGAACTGTGATAGCTTGATGTGCCGCTCATGTACTTCTGAGTACATCCATGACATCCCGGACACAGTGAATTCCTCCTTCTTCAACATGACAGTTGCCACAACCTCTGCCAATGGCCGCTCTGCAAGTAGTCCGGCTGGAAGAAGAGATGGGTTGGACCATCGGACAAAGTGTTTGTGCACAGACCTTAATGCCAAGTCAACGAAACGTTGTGCCTTGGAGCTCTGGTACTGACGAAGGTGGGCTGGACACTTCTGTAGGCCATGGTGGAACAAGGCAAATCCATCGTTGGTAAGGGCGCTTCCAATGTCTTCTTCAGTTGCAGCAAGTCCTGCTCAATGATGTAGTAGCGGACCAACATCGGTGTAGTGCGTGGAAGCTCTTCAACGCCGCTAAGTCTTTGGACACGTCTGTAACACTTGATACTGTAGGGACAATAGAGCCGAAGTCACACAGTATGAGTGTCAGCCGAGGAATACCTCCTGGCTCCATGAAGTGGCTGTAGTCCGGACGCAATCTTGTTGGACTTGCCATCGCTGGTAGTGGAACAGTTAATGGCCTGCGACTGATGCGGAAGAGAACAAGATAGTTATCCATTGTGACACGGGAAGTTTCGCCAACAGTCCACCATCGCGTCATGACTGGTTTGGGTATCATCAAGATGAACTTCTTCGCCATCTTCTCTGAGGAGGAGCGAAGTCACAGAACAGCAACACCTTTTCCCACTTCTCCTGGAACTGTATGTCCGCCACTGTAGTACCAATGTAAGGGGTGTCCGTGTAGGTTTGGACAAAAACAGTAGCCTCAGCCACATGCATCTTCCACATCGCGGCATCCATACTGTCTTGCAAGTCATACACGGAATGCAACATCTGCATCGCGTTCTTCTTGTCCAAACCACCTTCCCCAATGAGCTCCTTGACCGGAACAGAGAGGGACAACTGAAGATTGTGAATAGCGCATGAAGAGACAAGGTAGTTCATGGGGGAACACAAGTCTTTCGCTTTCATCTTCTTGTACAAGTCATCAGTGGTACCACCACCTCCACTGTCAGTAGTGCATCCATGTACTCTCTTGAGAGCAACTTTCTTGAATGATGCTACCAGTGCCAATGCATGATCCTCTGACAGTCCGTCGCTTGCATCAATGTCAAGACATTGAACGACCACACCACCATCTTCGAACCAAGACAACATCTTCACGAAGTGACTGACACCCTTCTTGTTTCCCTTGTCGCATGACAAATAGACAGTCTTGTTCTTGATGCGCTCGCCAAGGGCAATGGTATTCTCCACGGACAATCCGAATTGAAGATCTCGGAGCGTGGACTCTGAAGGGAAGGACTTAGAGAATCGAGTGACATCAACGTTGTCCAGGACGCCGAATTCATCAAGGAAGGCACCAACAAAGCAAGGCATCATGATGGCCGCTTGGGACAGTGGAAGGGACGGGTTGCTAGCCAGTGCAATGGACAAAATGCTTTTCATCTTATGCGATCCGGCGGTGGTGTCAAAGCGGGTTTTGTTGAAGCCACGTTGCATTTCCTTGATTTTATCTTCCGAGTTCTTCCATTGTGAGATTTGGTTCTTGTGCACGATCTCATGGGAAAGGGGAATGCGGACAGTAAACTCTTGTCCTTGACTGGAGAAAGTGTACCGGTGTTGGGCGATATCCGACTTGGCTTTCTTGGATGAAGGAACGTCTTCCGTACACACTTCGCCAGTACTGTCCGTAGGTGTGACATTGTCGTCAGTATCCAGTGCCCGCTTGGTTGAAGAATGGGTAGTGGGGGTGGCATCTACTAAGTATCGATCCAATCCAACAAGGAAGTTGTTTCGAACATAATCTTGGACCACGGTGGAAGCGGATGCATGGTAGTGGTCGGACGTTTCGGAAGAGGACAGCCACAGTTGCTTGCACTGGTATTGCTTGCTGGTATGGGACAGATGACGTTCGAGACCAGCCGGATCGGTAAGGCCGCTTGAACTTGCGAGGTAGTTGCTGCAACCAGAACAGGTATGCTGGATGGGCAAAGGGAAGTCAATACAGTACTTGATGTTTCGAATGCTCTTCCCAAGTGGAGTGGGTCCATGTGTGAGTCGTCTTCGTCTTGTCGCAACGACCGGTCACTGCCGCCTGCACCGGAACTGCAAGCACTCATCATCTTGGATGCAACAAAAGGGCAACTTTAGATCAAGAAGAAGACAAAAAGAGCGAATGGAGAAAACAGCATAGCTTCGGCTTACCTTTTCTGTTTTCCTGGAAGCCGAATAATGAGGTAAACTCCATCAATTAGCATAGCCATTGGTTCATGGATCGACTGTCGATAACAAGAGCCAACAGTGTTGTCTCTTTTTAGGTGACCAATATTAACGGTCGTCCTCGTATAGTTTACGTCTCTTTAAAAATCGCACACCCCTCTACTGTATCACATGGTATAAGACTTGAACTCACGATCCAAAAATCGAAACACTAGGTTGGTGGGATACAATTGACCGTTGTCACATGACAAAAAGACGTTTTAAGGTTCCGGGTTATTTGAAAAATGAGCGATTATTTGCTTCGCAGAAGCCTGTCCGAAAACAACCTTCATTACAACCTATCGTTGCCGCATTAGAAGTACATCTTCATCACTATCTAACGAGTGCATACTTCTAATCACGCAACGATAGGGAGTGTTAACAGAATTTTACAGACTGGCCTCTGGCAAGCTTTTATCGCGGGATTTAACACGTGCCACGCAGGCCGACCTCGATTGATCAACTCCATTGGCTGTGGGGGTCCTAGAGTCACTCTACTCTACTAGCTAGCTAGCCAGCTCTCTCCAAGCCACCACCCGCACAGAAAAGAATTTGGGGACTGATTGAAACGGAAGTCCCGTAAATGACGTCATTCACTGTAGGTGACAACGAAAGAAACGCACTTAGCTTTGACGTGTGGAGGGCAAGTCCCCAACGATCATTTTTCTTCACAGCTTACTTGCGCACTTGTACAGATCCAATCGCAGGTTAGCTGGTACCGGTACCAATTTTTGTTGGCGGCGATGAAGATGATGTTTCGACGGCTAGCCATCGTCATTATTCTGGCCTCGGTGTTTGCCTCCAAAGTGGAGGGGAACATCCTTGTGGTCGGTTCCATCAATGCCGACACATTTCTTCCAGTGTCGCGGCTTCCCACAGAAGGCGAGAATGTAATGCTGGTTCCGGGGAAAGAGGCAACTGTAGACGTTCCTGGGGGCAAAGGCTGCACTCAAGCTGTTGCAGCATCCAAGCTGTGCCTTGATACCAGACGAACGGTTTCCTTTGCGGGACAATTCGGCAATGACGAGGCTGCGGCAATTCTGCGACAATGTTGCGATGACGAAAATGTCATCATTCCATCTCTGTGTCAAAGGCACCACAGCAATCTACCAAGTGGCAGAGGCTACGTTTTCCTCTCTGAATCGGGAGCAGTGAGCGCTGTTGTCAGCGGAGGAAGCAACGAGAAAGGCTGGAAGGCGTGGGAAAGCGCGTGGCAGAAACGACAGCGGAAGCATAGTTCACCTCCCAATGATACTATCGAGGATGGCGCTGTTTCAGCAAAAGACCTGGATAAACTTTTTGACGGAATCACATGCATACTCATGCAACGAGAAGTGCCGGAATACGTCAATCGGCTAGTCGCTACGGAAGCTCGGGAACGAGGCGGCATTGTAGTTCTTCAAGATATTGGGGGAGAAGAGCGTGAGATAAGCAAAGAGATGATGGAGGCATGTGACTACATCATACCAAATGAAAGTGAGCTGATACGTCTGGCTCTCTCCCTGGACAGCTCAGTACTCAAAGCCTCCGCTGGGACGGAAGAGGACAAGCCCAGCAGTGAACGCGTTGTAGAACTAGCAAAGCTCTTGCAACGGTATGGAGCCAGAAATGTCTTGGTCACACGAGGAGCGAGAGGTTCGACGTTGGTGTCGGAATCAGGAGAAGTCTTCCACCAAGCAGCTTTCCCTTTGGAGGCTTCTCATGTGGTAGACGAAACCGGGGCGGGCGATTGCTACAGAGCTGCCTTTGCGGTGGCCCTATTGGAAGGTCACCCGCCTCAAAGATGCATGGAGTTTGCCACAGCAGCTGGATGTTGTTCTGTTCAGAAGCAAGGTGCGGTGCCATCGACGCCTACGCGAAGAATGGTGGAGGCATGGTTCAACAAAATTCGGTCCACGGACAGTGTTCTCAATATTCCTAGAGGAGATGGACAATCGGATTCCAACAAACTGGAAGAGAGAAGCCCTCGAACCTTGTCAGCGGCAACTAACACTCGTGGGGGTGATGCAGGATTTCCTTTCCTGATTGGTTCCAGATTGAATTCCATGAAAGACCGGCCAGAGCTCTGGGGAGGAGGCCCTCTGAAGTCTCCGCGCGACTTTGTAAAACGACAATCCCAAATTGAAGGTTTGACTGCTGTAGATTTCAACTACCCCCAACACTTTGGAGATGGACACTGGGACAGCAACGAAGATGCCCGGAAAGCGCTGGCAGATGCAGGTCTTGTGGCTGGTGCTGTCTGTTTGCGCTATCCTTCCAAATTTGCTAGGGGTGCCATGAATCACCCGTCTGCTTCGTTGAGAGAGGAAGCCATTGCATTGACCAAAGAGGCTGCCCAGGTTGCTTTGGACCTAGGATGCAATGAAGTGGTTGTCTGGAGTGCGTATGATGGATACGATTATGGTTTCCAAGTAGACTACGATGAAAAATGGGATCAGCTCATTGACGCGTTTCGGCAGTGCTGTGATGCATTTCCGCAAGTCAAATTTTCACTTGAGTACAAGCCCACAGACGAAAACACAAGGTTTTTCACCGTACCAGTAAGTATTTTGATTCCAGACCGGAATAAGATTATTCCTGTGATGTCTAATTGATTCATTGCTCATTATAGTCCACCGGGGCAGCGCTCCAGCTAGTTGACGAAATTGACAGGCCAAACATGGGGTTGACGCTGGACATGGGTCACTGTTTGATGGCGGGTGAGTTGTTTTGAAGCATGTACGGCATAAGTTTCCTCAGCCCCTTGTCGAAACTAATCCGTTTTTGATCCGCAGGTGAAAATCCAGCTCAATCCATTGCCATGGTAGGACGCAAACAAAAGCTATTTGGGGTCCAACTGAACGATGGCTACACAAGACTCGCTGCAGAGGACGGCATGATGTTTGGCTCAATCCATCCTGGGATGGCCTTGGAGATTATGTACCAGTTGAGAAGGACTCAATTCGAAGGGCACTTCTACTTCGACACGTTTCCGCAGAGGACTGACCCCATCAAAGAAGCGGAATGCAACATTGCTCGAGTGAAGGCGTTCTGGGCAGCGGCAGCTGCTATCAGTGAGGCCGAACTAAAAAAGGCAACGGACAACCACGATGCTATTCTAGCCTTGGAAATTGTCAACAGGGCCCTACGATCTTTATGATTTGCACAAACTCCCACGACCCGCGACAATTTTTTAACCAACCGTACCTTTACCATTCGGTACCGGTGCCGTTCAACAACCGAACATGACAATCAAAACCGTCGGAAACTGCCAACAACGAGTGTCAGCCAAGTGGGAAAGATGGATGGAGGCTTCGCGTTCTGCCTTTCTACATGTATGATACGGTCGACGGGACTTTGGCTGGGCAAAACGGCCAGTCTTGAATACATCATACCGCTACCGTAAGAGAAGTACGCATTCTGTGGTGTGATGAGTGATGTGCGTTATTACCATAGTGTGCTAGTGGGATACATAGGCTGGATGCAAGGGAGTGGCCTTTAATGCCACGGGGTTTTTATGGTCCCTGCGTACCTGTTGTATCCATTGAACAGGATGATACATACAAAAGTGTCTTGGTCTTGAGTGGCAGGTGTGTTATGATGTGGTGTTGTGAGATCTGGTGTGCTGAATAGTGCAATGTAGGCTCTGGAAATGCCATTGCACATGCTATGAATGGCATGAGTGAATAGAGCATTGATGCATGAGCCGCCAAGGCGACGCAGCCCAATATTGCTCTTCGTGAGAAGGTCTCGGGTGCATTCGTGGGAGAATGGAGAGTTCACGCAGGCCGCTGCCTCTGGACAGAAGGCGGAAGCATCACGCACTCCGCAGTGCGAGAGCTCCGGCCTCCCTTGTCTGGGCCGCTTTTCTTGATCTTGGATGTTGCTGGGAACATTTGACAACATAAACATAGAAAACATGTACATCGATAGAAAGTGCTTCCAAGTCGCAAAATCTAGTGACGCCAATTGAATCAGAGCGCTGCTATTGACTGGGGAACTCCCAGCGAAACACCTGCATTGTTTGGTGACAGGCGTTGCCGCTTGAGAGGAGGCATATCCTCTCCACCCCGTGAATCTTGGTCGTCGTGTTCCCCTGAGATGCTTGCATTAGCCGAGGTGTTGTTGGAATCAGATGCAGAAACAGCAGTGGCCACTGACGATGCAACTGACGACAACGACATGATTCCCTTCATTGGGTTGGCTTTGTTCTCGAAAGAACCTGCAACCTCAATCAAGGTCATGAGTTGATCCATGGTAACCTTGCTGCTGCTATTGGAAGACTCCCCACTTTCTTGCGCTTGGCTAGCTTGCGCAGATGCAGCAGCCTCAGCCTCGGGAGCAACAGAGTCTTCATAATCTTCTTCAGTGTCTGCCTTTTCGGGTGCTGGTGGTACTTCTCCTCCAATAGCAATAAGATGGTTTCGAAGAATATCATTCTCATTGGCGAGTGCCTTGCAGATGTTATCCATCTCTTCCATGAAGAGACGCTTTCGATCACGAGTCCGCTTGGCGTGCATTCGGTTTCGTTCTCGGCGAATTTTGTCCAGTTCCTCGGGACTGCACTTGGATCGGTCCTTGCCAAGGAGTTGATAATCAATTCCATCGTCTGGTAGATCTGCTTTAGACGAGCCCCCAATTGCCTTCCCTCGCCGTGAATTGTGTTGACCAGGAAGAATCAAGGCCGGAAGCTCAGTGATCTTACTAGCGTCAGGAATCTCTTCAGCTGGTCGCTTCATCAAGCGCTCCACGTGAGGGTCTTCTGCCTGTTGGCCTACATCTTTCTCTCCTGCAGTCGCAAAGAGGCCTACAAGAATGCTCGCCGTGTTCTTCTCGTTAATACATTGTTTCAGACGGACTTGCTCCTGCTTGAGTTCGTCAGCCTTCGATTGCAAGGTTTGCATTTGCTCCTTCTTGCGCTGTCTGGTTTTCCGCGCGTGAACGCGGTTCCTCTCGCGGCTAGCGTGGGAAGTTCGAAATTGTCGTGGCATGGTCCAAAAAGTAGTTGGGCAAACGGATGGGTTGAGAAAGCAATCAATACAGAAATGCAGTGTGAGCAACAATAACAAAATAGCTTTGGCGCCAAAGGAAGGAAGGAAGGAAAGATACGCGATGGCTGGTGTCAAGCAGCGCACAGCCGTGTCGTTGAAGATGGCCGCCAACAGAGCACTTCGGCCCAAGTCAGGAAAAAGGACACGAAGAACCCTTCCGCAACCAATCATCTTCCCACGCAGCCTGCTCTCGCCTTCTTTGGCCGGTTGTATTCTTGACAGAACCGCTGTCTTGACCTTGGACAAGCTCTTATCCAATCAGATTGCAGTATGGAGCGGCGTCATATTCCAAGCTGCTCATCAAGAAAGAGCTCGACCAAAGAGCTCGAAAGCTGTCTTTCGAGAAAGACTGAGTCAGAACTTTCTGTCCGCAGCTGCAAGGCATTATGGTCCAATCCGTCCTTTAACGTAAATGATAAAACAAGGACATCACTGTGACGGTTTGTGTACACGTCGTGGAAAACGAAGAGCTTGACACCAACTGGCCCAACGACACGACCCTGGTCCTCCTGCTCAACCCAAGGAAGCATCACCTGTCCTTGTCCAATGACGGCCATGGCGCTTTCTAGGGCTACGAGATTCAACAATGCTTACCTTCGTTGAAGCCGCTCGCTAGGGGTTTGCTTCTCGGCGGATTTCTTTGCTGCGTTGCTCAGCTCCTCAGACGTGGAAACTAAACGATCAACTCCAAGGTTGGCAATACTCAACACATTTTCACAGAATTTGGGGTCTGATGGCCTCAAAAGCGACTTTTGGCTGGCATTTCGTGCGGGGCGTGGAGCAATTTTGGTTTGCTCTGCGACGGAGGACTTGACGACGTCCATGGTGGCTCTGTGAGCAGCAAAACAACCAAGTGAAGGTGAGCAAGGGGGGTGGTACGTGTTCTGACCGCGTAGAAACTCAGTACAAACCTACAGCGGCGAAACTCTGTCAAAAAATTCGGGTTGTTAGCTTTTTCTTCTTGGCGCAGCTCCAAAGCGCCTTCCCGTTTTCGTCTCCGGCGACCTCCTGGTTTGTGGCCTGACTCTGACTTGGTTGTTGTGTTGTTGTTGTTGTTGTTGTTGTTGTTGTTGTTGTTGTTTCGTGTCGTTGTTGTTGTTGTCTGCCAGTGGCACAAGGCATCACCGTGGGTGAAGTTGATTCGGCTGGGTTTTGTTGACTTGACTTGGGATTTGCTCTTGCTGCAAAGGAGAGAACTCAAAGAGAGCTTGCCGTACGTTTCGAAGGTAAGAATCGGAATAGTTCCAATTTTAATATTTTGTGTGGAATGATTTTTTGAGAATATAGTTTTATTTTCCAAATTACCAGATATACTATTTGCGTCATAAGTAATTATCCTAAAAGATCAAATTGTCCGGTTTTGCCTCAATCAGCTCTTTTATTCGTATCGGGTCACACGGTACGAATACCGGTTGAGTACCGGTTCAACCTGGAAATTCTGCAAAAGCATTCTATTTTTTGATTGGCAGCTGCAGCTGGCGAAATTGCTACAGATCTAGCTAGCTACTAGGCAGGATGTAGGTACTAGCTAGTACCGGTACCAGTCTGGTAGCGTCTATTACTAGCTAAGCTAGCTAGTAGCTAGCATCTCAGGGGCAAGTATGCCGAAAATGTTGGGTGAACTATACAGTCTCGGCGCGCTTCCTTAACTGTCGTTACTGGTACAGCTGGTCGTTCGCGCGGTACCGGTAGCCTTTGTTTTTTTATAAACTTGCCTCCCAGTTTTCAAAGTCTGGCAAAGACGTCTCTGCTGCCGAGCTCAGCCCATAGCTGCCCGAATTGCCTTTCTAAACACAAACTTCTTTTCCTTTTATAAAACACTAACATAGAGAGCATTGCCATCCCTATCAATGAATAAAAGCAGAGTTTGCTGGGCCCCAGAATGAATGGCAACAGCGGTTCCGTGGTCACTTGCTTCCACCGACGGAGGCTGGTCCACGTCCAGAAGAAAGACAATGGATCCGGAGCATGAAGTAAAAGCATTGATGTCGTATTCGATGTGCTTTGGTCCAACGTACAAAATTCTCCCTGTGTAGATATTTACTTGACCAGGTAGACCATAATACTTAGCAATGTCTTCCTCAGAGAAATAGATAGTAACATGTAGCCACCGCTATAAGCTGATCTGGATTGCGAGCACTACGAGTACTATTTAGTTGTAGTAGATGTGGTAGCCAGAGCTTGCTTGAGACCTACTAGAAGGCAGAAGCTACAGGTACCGGTAGAGCTACCTCCCATAGTGACAATTTCAGCAATAATATGGACAAGACAGACAGAGTCAAAACAGCAATTTGGAGCTCTACAGTGACTAGCTTGGTAGTTAGTTGGCAGAGACCGCTCCTTCCTGGTTTCAGCTGACCAAAACGAATCTGAATGATAGCCAGATAAAGGTTTCAGTACTTGAGCGATTATAGATTTTAATTCATCTGCACCAAGAAGTCTATTGATTACTGATCCGCAGATAGCGAGTCGGGCAGTGCGGGAAGCTCTCTGCTGGTGTGTAGAAGATGCGTAACTTCGTCGTTTGCACTGTTGGGTGGAAGAAGAAGAAAATAGTCAAGAATTAGCAAAACAAGTTCAAGAACATCATCCGTTCATACAATCACAGAGCAGTGAACTCACTTGGTAAGCGGATAGGAGCAAACAAAGTCCACGAATTCCCTCCCATCCTTGTCATAATGGATGTTTGTCGAAGATGCACACAGTGCCTTGGCAACGTCTTCAAACTTGTGTCGGGGCTTACCAGGGCGGTCGCTTGCCTCAGGAAGTGTCTTTTCCCCTTCCAACAGAGCGAGCAGCTCCCGCCCTTCAACTTCCATTTGTGTGTACTTGGTCAGTCGAGTCCAAACCTCATTGACGTTCACAATTAGGAAGGGGGGCTCTGCCAAAGTAATGACACGAGCTTCTGTAGACGTTGGGGACAAAGCCATCTCCAGACTGCCAGGGATGATTTGCGCAGTTCGCTCGCTTCCACTCGCACGCTCCAACTGCTGCATGAACCCCATGGCATCATACACCATTTCGACGCTTAGGAGTTTGTTCCGTGCTGAGAAATGTGCCCGAAACATGCCCGGCATGACGCATTCTGCCAAGGCGCCGCATACGACAGCGTCCTGAGATCGAAAGATGAAGGGGCACATGAGCACGTCTTCCATCAAGATCATGTCGTCTTCGTTGATATGGTAGAACGCCCGGATCTGAGGAATCTGCGAGTTGCTAGACGACGTTTCCGTATCATTGGTCACCATGGCGGCGCCTCCAATTGAAGAAGCATTGCCAGATGGGACATTGCTAACTGCCCCTTGTCGAGCGCCTCCGGCTGCTTGTTCTGGCGCTGCCGCTCGTTTGCCAATGCCAGCAAAAGGTGGGAGAGCAACAGCGGTTGCTGCGCTGATGCGTCCACTTGGAGGAGCAGCATCTTGCCTTGCGCCGCCTGCAGGAGCTGCGGCTGCTCCCGTCGCCCCGATGCCCATGACGTTCGCTGTGATACCTCCAGTCTTGGCAATGTTGGGAGGAAGGTTAGGCGAGAAAGTGCCATTGTTGGGAGCCGGGGCACTGGCGTTGGGCGCTTGCTGTTGTGCTTCGTTTCCGTCGTCGGTCTTTCGACGTTTCATCGCACGCGGAGCTGCAATTGCAGCACCTGAATCATCCCCAGAAGACGAGTCTGTACACACTCGTTTTCCTTCACCGTTGGTACTGTTGGAATCCTCCGGAGAATCCTCCGACGGACTGCTGCTTCCCGAATCGCCCAATTTGGGGTCTGGGAGAGGCTGAGCGTGGTAGTCATGGAAGTCTTTGGATGCCGCTGCAAGTTGCTTCCGCCGACTCTCACTGCTGCTGCCACTTGAAGAACTGACTTTTGCGCCACCAGCTGGAAGTGCGGCGGCTCCATTCTTCTCTTGTCCTTGTTTTCTACTCTTGTGCGCTTCTTCACTCGCCGATCCACTGGAGGATCCTGAACTCGATGACAAGCTGGACACAGCTGCATTCAATCGATTGTCCTGGATTGACCTCGGCATTCGCGATGGCCCTCGTTTGGACTCTTCCAAGAAGAAGAACTCTTCTCGTTTGATTTGCATCCATCGAGTACTTCTCGATCCAATCCCTTCCACCATGACCGCAACACTGGCCGAATCTGCAATCATTCCCTGAACACCCCGAGATATGCGACAATCCTGGAAAGAGAGAACATGAGCATAATGTCAGCGCGCATCAGATGATACTGGTATTGTACTGCCTCAGCCAGATGCTCATCACATACCTGCTCAATTTCCGTTCGTCGAAAAGACCGGTACGGCGTGACGGGTTGCTTGAGCCAAAAGTTATCTTCCAAGAGGGTTTCCCATTTGCGAGGGTCTGTCTCATAGTTGGAATGAAACCTCAGGAACGTCCGTACCACTCCTCGCCTAACATTTTGCATTTCCGCCAAGTGCTGAATGGCTACCCTTCGCTGCCGTACCTCCTCCGTGCGTTCGGCATGCAATCCTTCAACCAGTTCCTTGAGTTTCTGGACATACGCTTTCTTTCGTAGCCGCGTGGATCTGGCGTGCTCTCGATTGCGATCACGGTTCTGTTTGGCTCGTTCTTCAGGAGTCAAATCTGTCCGTCTGGCTGCTTTCTTGTCGTCTATCATTGCAAGTTTGGATGGATTTGCTGGGGGTATTATCTGAACATGCTGCTGCTGTTGTTGATGTTGCTGCGCTACATATTGTGCTTGATGTTGCTGTGCCTGCCCATTCTGTGGTTGTAGTGCTGCCATCCCCATGTTCCCCACGGCCATAACGGCACCCGCTGTGCCTGGGACCGGTGATAATCCTTGTCGATGTTGCTGCTGTTGTTGCTGCTGCTGCTGCATGGGGTTGTTGGGGTCTAGGCGTGGTAGCACTACTCCTCCCGGAGCCGCCGCCTGGGCTGCCACCGCCGCTTGAGCCGCCGCTCTACCGTTGACAAACGCCTCTGGCATGGCCAAGAAAGCGCCCGGATTGGACAACATGGCTGCTGGAAAGGGGGAAGCAGCAGCCGCGGCAGCCAAAGCTGGATTTGTCATTAGGCCCATCAAGTGAGCCGAAACCCCCTGAGCGACAGCCTGAGGGGCCATCATAGGGGCTCCAGCACCCGGCTGGCCTGGGGCTGGTGGTTGGGGCGGTTGATTCTGTCTTTGGTTCATGATCTATCTTTCTTTCTCTTTCTCTCTCTGGATAACTAATGGACTTGCTAATACAATGCGATGATTGTCGCTTCTTTCGTTGTGTTTTTCTTTCCTCTCATGGATAGTACGAACGACAAGGCTGACAAGTAAGTTTGTGTTTGATCAATGCACCCATCAAGCCATCACTCAAAACATTGGATTTGTGAAGTGATCCCTTCCACTTCCATCATTCCGTGAGGGGCATGCACAAACATCTTACCAGTCTACTGACGTACGGAGAACCGGACTCACAGTACATGCGCACTTTGGATGATTTAACAATAGTAATAGAGTACAAGCAATCCAAGTAGAAAAGACAATTCTGGACACCATTGAGTAGAAAGGATGACGTACCCAGATAAAACATGACTTAAAGGAAGAAAAAGTCTGCTAGCAGAGGCTTCTACAGAAGCTCGACACTAAGTCGATCTCTACAGCTTCTCCACTGGGATTGCATTCTAAAATTTATATTTTCACGAAGAAGGTTCGGCTTATCCCGAAGAACTCAATCAGTGCGTCAGAATGATTGTCCACGATGTTCTTCATTGAGTCGAGTCACATGTCACATCCATTCTTGTGATTTTGAGTCGAGTGACGAGTCGAGTCCATTCCATACACTACCTTTACAGTACCTTTGAACGATTGAATCGAATCGAATCGAATCGAATGGAATCGAACAATCGTTCAAAGGCGAAGGTGGCGCTGTTGGTTCCGCGATGGCCATTGCGACGTATTACATGTAGTAATCATTCCTTGGGCTTTGTAGGAACAAGGTTTTGCTGCCGTTATTGACCTATGTGTCACTGATTTGGATTCCGCCTCCTACCCGACCAATGATCTGTTCAAAATCTGAGTGCTCAGGAAGGCAAGAATCTTTCCAAGTATAAAGGCCTGTGCTAATCCCATCAGGTCTCTTTCCATCCCTTTGTTGTGTCTGTGGATGACATGCTTGCTCCCCAAGCCGAAATTCTTTTCCAACCCCTTGCTAGCTCAATGCAAACAAAACTCAATCCCACATGATGTTCTAAGTAAGTCATGACACAACTCTCAATCTCATTTATGTCTCCGTGGATCCCACAAAGTCAAGCGCTTTGGCCCCTGTATTGGTCCTCAGTTTATCACCCCTGATCCAGCGGAACCTAGTTCCAAATTCCACCTCTTCTTTGCCTAATCCTGGTCGCCCACCAGCTTCCCTAGATAAATCCCTCGTGCTCTAGACCCCTCTACCCAATGTATGCTTGTCTGTTTCGCCACCACACCCAGCCAGCTACCCTCCTATTGGTCAAGTTCTTTATGGGCATGTCACTCTTTGCTAAAATCGTATGATGTAATTCATAAGTTAACAAACTGCGTACCATATAACAACACACACTGCGAGTTCTCACGATATAGTTGCTTATATCAAGTCCTGGGCCCTTCTTTGATCTTGCTTCCAAAGGCTGCCTCTGATCAAGTAATCCCTTCTTCTTTGATGCTTCACCGTGATACTCTTGCTAGCTATCAAAGAAGGCAATACCCTTTGATTAGTCTAGCTAGAAGTGCACGTCGCGTTGGTGGGTGCTCCTCACGTTTTGATAGTTCAAGCCTCGTGTTGTGGCTTTTGTATCCTGCGAGCGTGCATGCCAAGCGCATTCCGACCCCTCGCCACTCTCGCAGGAATTGATCTGCCGTATTTTGTGAGCGATGGCCATGGCGGGGCTCTTTTTAGACGAGATCATCGCCCGATTTCGTCGATGAAGGATATAATAATGTGTCCACTGAAAAAGTCTGGTTCCGAGCTCCAAGCTCCAGCAGCAGGGAACGATGCATTGATCTCGATCAAGGAAAACTTGAAAGGATCTTTCAACCGAGCAACCAGACGCCTCCTACCGGTACGCTAACTAAATGAACTTATTCTGAACATCAGCGGTATCTGGAGTTTAGTGCGGTTGTGTTGGGTTGTGAGTGGAATTAGGATGCCACGATTTCGTATTTCGGTTGATAGTAGAAACCATGACGAAACAAGACACTACCTAGGAAATGGACAGTTCTGTCCTCCCCATCTTAGCAACCTCCATCATCACAACAAGAACCTCCAGGATGAACATACGTTCATGAATGTATCACTTAACCTGCTCGCTAGGTATGAGGCGTTGGGGCTCACTGCGAAGGAAACCATAGAGTCTGTGCTTATCGGCCCTGAGGAACAATCAGCGTACTATGAGGCTCTTTCTTACAGAATCTCGCACATCCATTGCGCTGGTGCATACTCGTCATGTTCCATGATCGAAAGAATCGACGAGGAATTTGGGGCAGAGTTGAAGGCCATTTGGGCCGCAAACAAGGTGACAAACCAGGGACCCTTTCAAGCACCAATGACTCCGTGCAATGCTAGGAATCAGGCTCGTATTAGCTGGTTTCTCAATGCACGTCAAGGGGGACAACGAAACTTTTTTCCGGAGAACGAATCGAGGCCAACTCGAAACGCGAAGATGCTGCAACCAAAGATTCGAAACATTGACTGGCATCTTGCTACAACCGTTCAACAGGTTGTCTCGCTAAGCCTCGATGGAACTCATTCGTCGGATATCCGGGGAGGCATCGCTACCGGTACTTACCAGCCGCCAACTCCTGTGCACTGCCAGAGAACTGATTAGTCAAAGCATACATGTAGATATATATTAGGGGAGACTGTGGAAGCCCCGTGCACGCTTCTCTCAGTCAAGATCAGTTACGCAGAAACAAAGCTACGAAGAAACTCACTCTCGAACTCTCGCAATCCATATTTCCAGTACCGGTATCTTCGCAGTCTTCAAAGTAGTCGTCAGGTTCACTCATGACTGATCTGTAATACATGTAGCGAAACTCTTCCGATTCGATTCGAACACTGCTCTTTTGTCTCCAGTTTTGGATCAAGTTGTGACTATTATTAGTGCCATAGTAGCAACGCTGCAGCCTCTAGTAGCTTTCGGCTGCGAGCGTATGCACTTCTAGTAGCATCATAGATTGCGACCAGCAAAACATCAAAATCCAAATTGCACCCCGTACGGATGTTTGGAGAGACAATTTCCAAGCCATGACACTGCAGACTACACGTTTTACACCTTTTAACAACTTCGCCAGTTTACTAGGCATTTAACATTTCTTTTAACAGCAACAAAAGGTTGATGCGACCATGACGAAAAGATAGCGAAACACCGCACTAGAGCCGCTGCCGCGGCAGTTCAGGAGCATAGGACACCCACACAAGGGTCTCAGATGTGAAGCTGGCTGAGTTCGGCGAAATCCTCTTCAACCGAGGAGGAATCAGAGCTGTTAGCTCGCGCACCACGGTTGCGAGGAGGTAGAGGGCCGACCGAATCTGCATTCTCCTCGTCGCTAGAGCTTTGGTTGAGCATGTCAGGAGAAGTGTTAGATCCTTCCTCATTTCCATCGCTATCTCCATCTTCTTCTCCATCGGCTTGGGCTTCGGCTTGGGCTTCGACGACATGGGCGATGCGAAAAGGAGTCGATCCACCAACGAAGTGTACAGACACCATGTGATTTCCTTGATGCGAACGGAGGACAAGAAGAGTAGCATCAGAGTGGATGATATCAGCCTCGACACCCTCCAAGAAAAGCAAGTCACCAGTAGGAACAAACGAGTTTGGATGGATAAATGCAGCCATCGCAATGTCCTTGCCCTCGTTGACAGCTTCGGCCACCTTTCCTTTGATCTTGATGCGAAGAGCGGTGATGTCTTCAGGACCCAAGGGCGTCATTTCCTCTCCAGCAGCGACGGAGAAAGAGGCAATCTTCAGCTTGTCAGTCATCGTGTCGATTTGGTGCGATCGAAAGAAATGAGCTTTTTCCGTGTCGAAACGAACAGCAATCGAACCACTCCAATCTTGACTCGCGTGTCGGCCAGCCAATCTTCTTACTCAGTGAACTCCGGCAGGCTATCTGTCGACACAATTTGTACTCACAGTCGGAGCAGGCCACCTTCAGGAGCGTTCTGAGCGGCAGCATGCAGCTTATCTATTGAGAAACCGAGACGGAGAATGTTGCCTCCTATGGCAAGCTCGTTACCTCCGACTCGACTACTTGCCGACTGAAACTCATTTTTCTTCTTTGACGGTGTGCAATACACGGCTCTCAGCCTTATTCGCGACTCGATCCTAGATAGGGTCTGGAAAGTCCCGCAAATGCTGAAATCGCTGAAAGGCTATGTAAAAGTGTTGAATTTTGTTTCAACAGTCAAGAGATTCGTTAAACAGTTAGTCAACACTTTTTCAACACTTTTCAACACCTTTTCAACACTTTTTCAACACTGTTGAATACAGTTCAACACTAATCGTCGATTTCGCATTCATCATCGAGGTCGATGAGAGGAAGGATTGGTTTGTCACGCAGCTTGGACTCGAAGCTGGTGTATGCGTCTTTGGCAATCTTCATGGTGAGGAATAGGTTGAGGGTAGCTGAAAGCTATTGTGTTTGTTAACAAAATGCACTACGCTAAAAGCTAGTGTAAAGATCTTTCGAGTGTTTTGAGTTTGAGAGAATGAAAGTTATGAGAGGATTAGAAAGCTATGAAAACTAATCAACGAGAGAGATCCACAATCAAAGGATCGTAGATCTGAACTCCCGCGGGAGACTGCAGAGTGAGATAGAGTAGGTTGCGGTAGCAATCCTACTCACTCCACGATCCAAAACGGAACGCGTGGAGATTCGTCTAGCATTTATCTAGTAGCTGGAAGTACTCCACGCTGGCTAAATATCTAGAGCGATGTTTCATCAACCTAGTATGACTAGAGCGGTCATTGAGAATTCTGTCTCAATGACTATTCGCGAAGGACTATGTCATGAGTCGAACTCAGGAAAGTCCCGCAAAAGCTGAATTTCTTGAACTCTCTTAATTAAACAACTTGAACTGTTGAATAATGATCATAAGTGTTGAAAAAGTGTTGATTAAGTGTTGAAAAGTGCTGAAAAAGTGTTGATTAACTGTTGATTCTCTTTCAGCAACTGTTGAAAATACTGTTGAATTTTTGTACAATGTTTTAAACACTTTTACTGCAAACTACTAGTAATAGATTCAACAGGTGTTGAAAAC